AATCGGCCTACTCCGAAGCCATCTTCATCCTGAAAATGATGGCATTGATGAACCGCATGGGGGACAGCCCCGCCCCGGTCGCCCAGGACGTCCACCACTCGAAACCTATCTCACTTCGAGCATGTGGAGAGGAGACGAGGGAGGAGAAGTTCAAGACTTCCGACTGCAACTCCGGACAATGATGGAAATACAGGTAGATTAACTTTTTCTATTAGTTGTGTTCAATTGTCCTCAATATAGTATACAACTAATCTATTTTTTTAAATGAGATAGGTGGTGCCCCGAATGTGAATGCACAAACCAACTTAATGGGACGGAGCCGGTGATCCATAATGATACAGGTTAGAAATTATATTCCTAATTTCGGGTAAACATATTGTATAACTCTTTGTATTAATTTATTGTGTTATGCTCTTTGGCTAGATGGTGCCCCGTGGAGGGTTGCTCGGATTCCCAATACTAGTTGGAAGAATTACCCATGGCTACATTGTTTGGAATCCTACGTGCAACGACTAGTTCGTGGTTGGTTCAACCCTATTCCAGATGGACACTGTGGATTTCGAGCTATATCACAAGCAGTTACTGGGGAACAAAGGAATTGGCCACAAATGAGACGCGCTGTTGTAGAGGAGCTTGAATCCCGTCCTGAGCTTTATAGAGACTACTATGATGGAATAGCAAATGGAATAGAAAATGGCATTCGACGTTGCAGGTGGGCATCAACAAGTGGTTGTGGAACTCCCAACTGGATGGATAATGCGGAACTCTTCGTCTTCGCCACCTTGCATTCATGGGCCATCGTTGTATACAGTCAAGGCGGTCGTTATACCGTGCTACCTGTGACGGCCCCACCAGGAGTAACAAGACCACGTGGGATCTTATCACTACAATTACGGGGGATCATTGGGTGCGACTTGACTTTCCACATGGTCAAGTGCCCATGCCTCCAATTAATGGCCTTTGGCCTATTTTTCATGACCCTAGCGTCAATGGGTGGGATCAATTCTTCTTACATGAGCGTGCGCTTTATGATAGATTGAACCCACGTGGATGAAGATTGGAAGTATATTTACGAATTGTATAACTCTCTATTGTTGAAACATTTAGTAATCTACCATGTTGATTAACTATTTTAGCAATGCATTGAATGTAACTAAAGTAAAAAAACACAACCGTCTCAATTCAACTACAAACGATGACAAATAAAAAGCACAATAGTCTCACAATAGTCTTAGTTCAACTACAAACGATGACAAATAAAAAACACAATCGTCTAATGAGGCGGCTGCCCTACCAACTGGTCGTACAACTCATGAACCCCAGCTACCATATCATAGAACTTACCACCGTCCTCCTCCCACTTACTCCGATCCCTCGTCAGCAACACGGGACCTAAACGATCCACAATCTGCTCTCTCAACTATAAATAGAAAACAATGTTATAATAAATAACAAATGTCCTTTATATTTGGAAAAACAAAAGAAAGTTATAACTAATCTGATAAACTAGTAGTGGTCGAGGCTGAGGCACCCCATTAGTGGGGTGGGTGATCCGTGGGTGCGATCTAGTCAGAAACCAGTCAACGTACTCCTCCACGATCTCCAATGGGTGCTCGCACGGCCGAGAAGCAAAATCCAAATCTAGACGACGGGCTACCACGTTATCCCACAACTGATTCACCCACGGATCCCAAAAGACTATGTAACTGCTGCCGGAAGCCGGATGGTACTGGTCATGTGGTACCGTCATAGCACGGGGGATAATCTGTCGGTATCCAAACTAGCGCAGACAACGTGCAGGATCGTATCCCTCAGCAATGTCAGAAAAGCGAATGGGGACAGTATACAACGAGCGAGGTATATCTGTGTGGCCATCTCATCCGTACGGAGTCCAGCTCACATCATCAGCTGAAAGCTTATCCAACAACTATCGATAACGTGCTAACCTCTGTCTAGCCTCATCCCCACTTGGCAAACGGGGAGAAATCCACGAGGAAGCACGAGGTACATCCGGAGACTGCAGCAGCTGGCTCGGACGGAATAGAGGAAAGTACTCATATATCCAAGCCTGAAGCAGGGTCAAACAACCACAAAGACCCTTACTACCCGCTCGTGTAGCCACTCCCAACTGTCTGTAGAGATAGGCTAGTGCACCAGCTCCCCAAGCGTAATCAGTCAATCGTCGATGATCCTTCATAAACAAGTTGATCGCAGGACGAAGGCGATCACGACTCTTATCCACAAAAAGCGTGGATCCCAGTAACACAAATAGGTAACACTGCACCTCCATCTCCTTAATCTTCAACTCTCCCCCACGCACCAACAATCCCTTTGAATGCATAGCACCATTATCGTACCACTTAGACTTCCACTTACCACCAATCTGAGCATTCACCGAAAGTCGAACTAGACCACCCATGTATGACTTAAGAGTATCCGACGACGCCTCATCTTTCATCAGCTCTCCGTCAATCGGTATCCGAAGAATGTGATGCACATCGTGTAGAAGGATCGAAAACTCTCCAAACGGCATGTGGAAGGTGTTTGTGTCCGGCTGCCACCTCTCCACAAATGCCGACAGTAGATCCATGTCTAAATGCTGCATCATGCACCCTGTCAAGTGAGACAATCTTGTGGCTTCAACCATCTCCTTGGAACCCTCTGCACTCCACTTATATCGCCTCAAAGTCTCTACAGCTCTCGGCCTATGGAAGCCGTCCAACACTCCACGGTCCTACTCAGGGGAATTCCACAGTACAAAGCCAATGTGACCTCCAAAGCTAGGGATCACATCGGGAATCACTGGTCCACCTGAACACATCGGAGACTCGGCTGTAAGAAACCACGACATATCTTTCCTCGTGGTCTTCCTCTTCCTATTTCCATCTCCGCCATCCTCGCTACTAGGTCTGGACGCATAGCGTCCATCAGGCCCACGTAAGTGGGAGGAGGCAGTAGAAGATATCCCGACCCGCGCCGTCTTCCCCACGCCTAAATCAGCTTGAGGTGGGGCATCCCCAACCTCAGCATCACCAGCATGATCACCAGCAGCATCACCAGCATCATCACCAGCATCTGGGGCATTCCCAACCTCAGCATCATCATCATCCTCGTCAATGGAATCACTTCAATTAGCCTGCCATACCGGTGCGCTCTCTGGTGTAGGAGTACTGGTAGTACCTCGACTAAGAGACAACTGCCCCACAGTAGGGTGGCCGTCAGGACGCACTACATCCGCCTTCTTCTTCTTCCTTCTAACCTTAGGTGGATTTTTTTCTTCATTTTCCTTCCTACCAGTCGCCGTAAGTCTACAAGCACGACCTTCCATTCTCTCCTTATTTCTCGCCTTAATCATATCCGGTTTACCCATTCCATGTCCAGACATCTTCAAAAAAAAGTTTGAATTATTAATAATGGAGTACATAAAGTAATTAATTTAAGATTTTCATTATTAAAATTATAAAACTAATATTTTTAACATTTATGTTACTTTCTATGTAATAATTATTTACATAAAAGTAAATAATTAATCCAAGTAAAATTATTAATAATTAAGTAGATAAACAAATTACTTTGAGGTTTTGATTATTAAAATGATAAAAACACATTTTTAATTTTTTTATAATGTTCTTTAAATTTGTTATCATTAATTAACATTTATCGAATACGTTTTTAAAATTTTTTATATCATTATTGACAAAATATATAACTAAATTATTTTAATTAAGTATTAAAAATTTTATTATTATTAACATTTATTTTTTATTATTTATATTATTATTAACATTTATCGAATAATAAAAACACAGAATTAAAAAAAACCATAGAAAAAGGGCTGACCGCGGTCAACGTGCGGTTAGACCGACGGTCGACCGCGATCGGTCAAACCGCGCGTTGACCGCGGTCAGCCGTTGGTCCAACCGCGCGTTGACCGACGGTCGATCGCGCTCGGTCAAACCGCGCGTTGACCGACGGTCGATCGCGCTCGGTCAAACCGCGCGTTGACCGCGGTCAGCCGTCGGTCCAACCGCGCGTTGACCGCGGTCGACCGTCGGTTCAACCGCACGTTGACCGCGGTCGACCGTCGGTTCAATTGCACGTTGACCACGATCGACCGTCGGTGCAACCGCGCGTTGACAGCGATCGATTCGTACCTCCGGCGGCGGCGGGCGGGAGGCGACGGGTGGCGGCGGGCGGGTCGCGACGGGCGGTGGGAGGCGACGGGGGGCGGCGGGAGGCGACGGTCGGGCGGCGGGCGGCGACGGACAGGTGGCCGGCGGTTGAGGGGACAGGTGGCCGGCGGTTGAGGGGAGAGTTGCAGAGGTGAGAGGAGTTGAGGGGGGAGGGGGAATGAATTTGAATTTGTGAATAAGGGCTTGTTTGTTTTGAGTTTTTGCTTGAGGGCATATACGTAATTTTACATTTAAGTTATGGCGACGTTTAGCAATTCTTAGGACGACATTTAGCGATTCAGCCAAAATTCCCTTGGCGCGTTTTAAGTGTGCAAAGTGGGAGCTGACTGGTTTAGCACTCTTTGTCGTGTACTTAGCACTCAACCATCAATTTTCTAAATTTTTTACTTTTACGTTTACGGATGAGTATTAGAGGGAAATGGTGCTAAATTCTAGCACTTAGCCTCTTTTTTGGTGGACATAGCTGCAAATGAGTCGAGTCAGAGTTTTTGCTTAGTTTGAACTTGGCTCGTTTGTAAATGATTCAGCTCGAACTTGGCTCGAACTCGAATTTCGATAATCTAGCTCGAGCTTGGCTCGATTAAAAATAATCAAGTTCGAGCTCGACTCGGTAGAGCTCGGTAAATGCTCATTAACGCAACTTGTCAAGCTGAGCACTAGCTCGGCTCAAGATGAGCTGGATTTGAAATCATTCTTGCTGGAAATGTGTACAAAATAAGAATTTAAATGATTAAAAGAACACTAGAAACTAAAAATAACAGCTAACTTCCATATACATCCGTATTAACAAGATAATGTTCATGTTCAGAAGAGTAATTAATCCCTTCACAAGCTCTAAACAAATTAGCTCTCCAGCTTAGCTCAACAAGCCATCGAGTCAAACTAGCTCACGAGCTTATCAACCTGAGCATGGTCTAGCTCAAGTTTGGCTCGTTTACGCGAGCCGACTTGTTAAATAACGAGCCGAGTGTCGAACGAATTTTTCCGATTCGAATGTCAAAATTGCTCGCGAGTGTGATTGGGTGATTGGGTGCATCACATTTTTTAGGGTGCAGTCAGCAGGGTGGAGAAAACTTATGTCAAATAAATAAACGGGCTTGCCTGAATGGACTAATTTATGGGCTTAAAGTGCATTAGCATATTGGGCCTGACTTTGGATCCGATATCCAGAAACATTGTCACCTTTTTTTGCCCGTCAAAGCTCTGTACAAATTGCTCTTTACAGCCGTGTTTTTGTCAGAGAGCAACCCACGTTGGAGTGCTTTTTGGACACTCCCCCATTTTCGCCAATGCCACTCCTTTGCAAAACGCCGTCGTTGGAAGATGATCTACGGCCAAAACGAGAGTGCTCCACCAAAAAGTGGAAAAGCAAAGAGGGCTGCGATATCAGTGTATCACACTGCTCTGCGGCAGGATGACTGCCTTTTCTTCTTCATCGCACATCTCTCTCCCGTCTCCCCTATCGCTTGCTCTAGGGATTGCAGAGTAGAACCTGCGGACTCAGCCCGATCCGAGTGAACTCGCTCCGCCATGGATTGATCCTCTCAGCTGTCGAGTTTCCCCCCCAGTTTGCGTTGACTTCTCTTTCTGCAGCGTTTCTTAGCTCGAGCTGGTGAGGTGAGTTGCTTTGCTAACCTGAACTCATTTCTTCCGAGTTTTCTCTAACTCTATTTCTCCAGATCGGGCTGTTAAATACCTCGGTAATTTGCGCCATTTTTGCTGGAATTTCCCGCTAATTCGCTACTGTTGGTTGGAGGTGATTTTTTTTTAGTAAAATGGTTGGTTTTCGCCTTTTCGGGAGGATGTCCCTGTAGTGTTGAGTTGCAGCTTCTGTGAGATTGTCTTTTTTCCGTTTGTTGTTTCCGCTTCATTTCGGTGATTCTTATGAAGTGGCTTAGTATAACTCTTAGCGGGTATCTTTCACTTGTTTTGCTTCATTGCTTGGCAGTGTCCCCGATCTGTGCGTTATTCATGCTTTGTTGTAACCAATCTAGGGGATGAGAATTAGATATGAACACTTGCACTGTGAATTAATTTGGTGGGTTCACTTACCTTTGGCTTGTTTGTTTTATCCTCTTCATGATCTCTAGGTTCTCAGCTAATGGAAGATACTCAACCAGTTGGAACACTCATGGATTCTACCTCTTGCAAGATACAGCAGCTCCAAAAGGCATTTGCTGAGCTGGAAAGCCATCGAGCTGTGACTCTCAACATGAAGTGGAAAGAGCTCGAGGAGCATTTTCATGGGCTTGAGAGATCCTTGAAAAGGCGATTTCATGAGTTGGAAGATCAAGAAAAGGAGTACGAGACCAAGACAAGACAAGCACAGGAAGCTCTGGAGAAGCGGGAAGCTGCTGTTAAAGCCAAGGAACAGGCTTCATTGGGGAGGCTCCAGGAGAAGAGAGATGCTGCTATGTTCGCTATCACTAGTTCTTTAGATAAGCACCGGAAAGTATCTCCTGGGGAACCTGTTATTGAAGCCAGTGAAGACCTGTGTGAATCCCCTCTTCATGACCAGCCATCTGATACAATGCCTTCTGAGAGTAACTTGGGTGAAATTGTCAACCCGGGTGAGGACGAAGATTGTGAGGCAGTGTCTTATCCTCAGCTATTCAAACTATGTGAAGAGATGGATGCTGATGGGCTGCATAAGTTTATATCTGACAATCGTAAGAACCTTGCTATTCTGAGGGAGGAGATTCCACTTGCTTTGAAAGCTGCAGTTGACCCTGCTCAGTTGGTTTTGAACTCTTTGGAAAACTTTTATCCCTTGGAAGACCTTCCTATTGATGGGAAAAAAGATTCAATATTACTGGGTGTTCGCCGAACTTGTATTATGTTGATGGAATGCCTCAGCATTTTGCTCATGTATACTGATCTAGTTTCTGTATCCGAGCTAATCTCGGATGAGGTCAAAGATCGAGCAAAGGCGATTACTGAGATTTGGAAACCTAAGTTGGAAGCTCTGGATTTGGATGCAAGCAATGGGAACTCCTTGGAGGCACATGCATTTCTGCAACTTCTGGCAACCTTTGGCATTGCTTCTGATTTTGATGTGGAAGAGCTCTCTAGGCTTGTTCCAATGGTCTCTCGTCGTCGGCAAGCAGCTGAGCTCTGTCGATTTCTTGGACTGTCTGACAAAATGCCAGGTTCTCTCTTCTGCATTCACACTGAAAGATGTGTTGTATATTTATTAGAGTTTAGCATGTGGAATTCATCCTAGTGTTACCCTTGTTCCTTGGTCCCGGGCTTGTAATATAATCAGTCCTGGTGTATATGTATTACATAAATAGCCTTTGCCACTCATCCTAGATAGACTTTCTGAAAAAATTGCAGTTCTTGACTATATATCAGTATGGAGTTGGTTGTGACTTGTTTTCAGATTCAGGAAGTGAGCTCTCTCTAGTTTTAATATACTGATCTCTTTTGACACTTCAGGTGTGATCGAAGTTCTGGTAAACAGTGGGAGACAAATTGATTCAGTGAATTTGGCATTTGCTTTCGAGTTAACCGATCAGTTCTTACCTGTTCCTCTACTTAAGTCTTACTTGAAGGACGCAAAAAGGTCTTCTCCACCAGCTAAACCTGGGAATGCAGCTAGCCCTGTGCAGGTTCATACTCTCTTTCTCCCTTTAACTTGATAAAAGCGATCGCTCTACTTCTTTGATATTAGACCTACCTTAGAGGTGGCAAATGGGCTGGGTTCTCTGCGGTTTTGATTTGCAACAGAAGTAATAATAGATAGCTAAACCATTTGCTTTCGGCTACCTATGACCTGTGTTTTGATTCCAGAATGAGGTGAACGACCGCGAGCTCGCTGCCCTCAAGGCTGTTATCAAGTGCATCGAAGAGCACAAGCTCAAGGAGCAGTATCCCCTGGAGCCACTTCAGAAGCGCCTCCTTCAGTTGGAGAAGGCAAAAGCAGAGAAGAAACGGGGAACAGAAGTTCCAAAGCCGCAATCCAAGAGGCCACGTGCTAATGGTGTTGGTTGTGGTGGTGCTCCCCACGTCACCACTGCCAGTAACGTCGTCCCCGACAGGCAGTTCTATCCCCCAAGAGTTCCTGATCGATATCCGCAGTACACTTATGTCTACCAAGCACCTGCCGACAACCACCCTATGGCACCACAGCTGATCCCTTCTGCACCTTACAGCTTTAGTCCGTCTCATGGCAACTACTTCGGAAATGGGTATCAGTACCAGACCACATATCTTCACTAATCGGGTATTAAAAAAATGATGCCGAAAAAAAAAAAAGGTGACTCTGAAACCTCTTGTTTAACTGTTAGCCTTAACCCTTAAGCTATTTGTTGTTTTTTCTTGTTGTTGTAATATTGAGCTTAGAATCTGAATCAAGAGCCATCGTGAAAAAAGAAGAAAAAAGATGGAAGAAGAAGAAGCAAAACTCTACTCATGTTAATGTTTTTAATCTACTGTACCAGTGATAACTTGATGATACTCTAATATATGCACTTTGTTTCCTGTGTATGTTAGTACCTACCTCTGTTCTGTTGCCTGGTTGGATAGGTTTGACCTTTTGTTTATCCTATTTGTCAACTTGTTGAGGTTTTTGAGTCCGTCTGTTACGGACAGAATCTGAAATGTTTGATGCAGGAAGTCGTAATGGTTTGTACTACTGATTGGGGTTGTTGTCTCGAGTTATTTGATGACGAAAAATGTATTGAGTCATTCATTCTTTTTTCATTCTTTTCATACATACGAAAGTCTCAAATGACTACATTGTGTCATTTTCAAATGCTTTTCATCATTTTAGGTCAATTATTCTAATTATGTCCTTGGTCGTGGTGGAGTGTTCTTCAGTCTGGTGGTTTCAGATTTGAATCTCAGGGATGAGACGATCCTTCTTTCCCCCTTCTTATTACTTGTCATCTCAAGTATTGAGACTTCTGGTATCTTGCCTTTCGATCAAGTTTAATTTCTTTATCTTTCGCCGGATAACGGTGGAACTAAACAAAACTGATACTAGCGTTAAATTGAATTAGATCACTAGATGTTGTAAAAAAACAAAAATTAGATCACTAGATCAATACGTTACCAATATCGATTTGATAAATTTGATGAGGCTTCTAGTAATGGGTCTGATCAAATAAGCCCAATATTTAATTCCGTTGCCCAGCCCAATGGTGACGACTCTTGTACCATATCCATATCCATCTGTACAATACGCCTTTCCGCGTGGTTGTCGATCATGGAGTCCCTTTCCGTGATCCTCTCATCGTCGTCTCCACCTCTTCTCCAAACCCACTCTAAACCCCTCAAATCCGCCATACTAGCACCCACCTCGAACTCCACTCATTTTCGATTCCCCTCCCACTCCAGAAAGTCGTATCTTTCCTTCACCGCAATTCACCTCTTCTCCCCTTCTCTCCCTTCCCTCGCCGCCGATACTCCGGCCGACCACGAAACTTCCGGTACTCCCGTTCATCCCTTCCTCCGCCGAGCAGGAACTTTTGTCCAATGTGACCGACGCGAAGCAGTCCATCCTTCGTGAAAAATCTGCCAATCAATCGCTGATTTTCTCCTGATCCGCTTACCGCCCTTAATTGGGTCAGTCAGCCCGCATCGCCAACAAAAATCTGCAAAGTCCTCGCCTTTTTGGGTCACAAGCCTCTCTCCTATGGATTTGGTAATCTAATCCCTCAGATTCCTTCATCCCCTTCTCATGATTTTGTGTCATAGCTCAATGAACAAGTTGGCCGAACCGATATATCATCCGTGCGATCGACTTGTTTGAATTGAATCAAGTGGGTCGGATGGAAAGTGGCGGTAAGAGCAAGTGCATCATCGGCGGCGGCGTGGACACTCTGACTCCAACTCCGATGACGTCGACAATCCAGGATCTTCCGGACAGCATATTGATCAACATAATTAGTCGGCTGCGCATGAAATCTGCAAAAAGATGCACCGCGGTGTGCAAGGCCTGGTACAGGCTTATGAAGGACGAAGCAACATCGCGCTACATGGAAAGTTGCTACGCCGACAGCGGCAGCTTCGCTCTGTTGAGCACCTGGCCAGACTGCAATAAAGCCAATTTGGCCTACTTGGTGGCTCTAGTGTCTTCTTCTGAAGAAGATACGGTAGGATGTCCCCAACTGGTCATTGGGGGATCAGCCATCGTGGTCGGTTGCTGCAACGACGTGCTACTTTGCCAGGGCAATGAATCTAATTACTTCGTCTGGGAGCCCCTCGGCGGGAATGATAACTGGGTTCCACTCCCACCTCTACAACATCGATGGATGGAGAGTTTCCTGTGTGGAATTGCTGCCCATTCAGATGGTAGCTTTACTGTGATTCATATTGCAGACTGCATCAGGCGGCGACCAGCTCATCGTCTGTCAGTGCAGACGTTTAGCAATCACAAGCACAACTGGGTTTGGAAAGAAGAACAAATGTTTTTGCCCCCAGGCCGAGTATTTAAGTGGGAGTCCACATGTTATCCTCAAGGAGTTATGTACAAGGGATTCATGTTTTGGCTCGGCGAGACACGCTTCCTCTTTGGAGTTGCTGATCCATATCATTCGGCTGATGGTGATAGTTGTTCTACGTCTTGTGTGCCTCTACTCATTGATCTGCCCCCAAATTTTAAGTACATAAAGAATGAATGCCTGGAAACATGGAGAGGAAACTTGACCATACTCCAAATGTCAACTTGGCCCAGTTCAGTTGGCATTTGGATTCTACATGATGATGACCATCGATGGTCATTGCATAAGCAAGTTTCTCTCTACCGCGTCTTTCAACAACTGCCTCTGGATGAGGATGATGTTCCATTGGGTCAGCGGCGTGTGGAACTTCTTGGCAGCCATCCTTACGACCACAACATCATCTATTTTAGAGTCTGGAGGACTGTGCTTTCCTTGGATTTTTCCACCATGGCTCTTCAACAGGTGTTCCACTATCCTCCAAACTCTTTCCTTATAGGCTTCCCTGGAACTGCTCTGACTTATAAACCGAAATGGCACCCGACGCCTGTCCTTGCTTTTGCCGTTGCATCATTATTCAAGTTTTAACTTACACACATTGAAAGGCTAGGCTTAAGGCCTTAAGCTAAGCTACCTCTTTCTGTGTGATGTGTTGTGCTATCTACATTGTACTACCAGCTATCTAGTTCCATTGTTCTAATGGTGAGGGAATATATACAGCAAAAAGTAAAGAGAGAACTTGTGATTGTAGTCAATATTGTAATTCTCTTTCATCTTTTGTTTTCCCCTACTACCACAAGTAAAATGCAAAAGGATTATTACTGATGGTTACTGTGACTGAAATGAAATGGTAAACTGAATAAATATCATTTTTACTTCTCTGACTGAGCCATCCAAATCTCGATAGGGTGTTGTATTAATCATAATGCGCCATTGTCGACATTGGTATTGGATATCAGTGGATTTGTGTTCATAATGCTCTCTTGGTAAAGTAACGCTAATATATAACTCCATGCATGAAAAAAAAACTAGATAATTGAATGAAGGTCCTTAGATGTTAACTGCTTCTTGCGTTAAACTTGTCATAAGTACATGTATATTGTCTATCCACAAACGTTAAGGAATCAGAAAGAGGATAGTTTCTGTTCAGGCGGTCACCTTAATTCCCAGTTTCTCGAGATTGAATAGTTCTGTCCTGCTAGTGCGATTAGGTATTACAGTGTTTGTTGTTTTCCTCATAGGAGTTTGTATTGTTCTTCGTTCTCTACTACTAAATGAATGAATCGCCGTGGGATGGAACACTGTGTGCGATCGAGTTCTCATCATCTGTTCAAGCTTTGGCCAAGAAATGGAAGCTCAACGACCCTCCTTTCATGGGTTAAATCCCTAAGTTTCCGTCTTTGCTACTAATCAAGTTAGTCTCCTCCCTTCTGAGAACCTTGTTTTACCATGTTGACTAGCTCCTATAGCTGCTGCTGCAAATACCACTGTTGGGGATATGGCTCGGATCCAGTCGCGCGAGCAAAACGGCCGAACGAACTTCCAGTAAGCAAGGACATGACCGCAAACGGTGGAAGCATCAAGCGATGTCGTTTTGATCCTGCCCAGGCCGACGTCGTTTCGCCTCGTTCAAAACCAGCGCCATTTTGGTCTTACCCAAGCCAGTGTCATTTTGGCCAGCATAGGATAGGGAAGGAGAACCGAAAGGATGGTGCCGCAGCCTATGAAGGAAGAGTCATGTCCTCGATCAGGTCCTAGGAATGATTATGGCCTAAAAGCATGGCCTAAGTTTCTGACACATGTAGTAGTCTTATCGCATTAAATACCCACTACTGTAATGTATTATAAAAGGGGCATTTACTATGGTAGGTAGGGGATCGGTTTTTGGATTCTCTCACTAATACACATTCACTTCTCTCACTAGCAAACTTCTTTCGTTGTTTCTTTCTCTCTACTGAAAGCCCTCATTCGTAAACAAGTTAGACACTCGCATCGCTTGCTCTTCTCCCCCCTCCCTCACGAGCCTCACTCCTACTCTCAGTTAGGCTCAAACAATTGGCGCCCACCGTGGGGCCGAGTAGAGAAGCGATGGAAAACCTACTGATGACGGAGCGCAATCCCGACTCACCCAACGAAACGACACCCATCAAGGCTATGACGAACCAAAGGACACACGCGGAAACCAGCAACTTCAACGCGGTACTCATTGAAGAAGAAGAGCCCGAGCTGACGCACAAGGAGATGAGGCAACAGATGGCCAAGCAAAACGAAGTCATAGCCGACATGCAAAAAAAGATGAACCAAGTTATCGCGCTCATGATGAGCAAAGAGCCCGCGCAACCCAGTTGCGCCGCTTCCGGCGCCCGACGAAGCAACAGAACACGTCCCGCCACTACAACAAATTCCGGTCGGATTGCCCGCGGATGAGGTACCACAAGCGGAGCCGCGCCCCAGGGCAGACCGCAGTTTCCTGGAGCAACACTTGTCTCCACAATACCGCCCTCACCCACCAAAGAGAATCCTCCACCAACCGCTAAGCGCGGACATAATGGCGGAACACCTATGCGGAATGTCGCCCGCTCTCCGCACGTATAACGGGACGACCGACCCAGAGGACCACGTCAGCACGTTTTGCCTCAGAATGCAACTCCAAACCAATTCCAACGCGGCACTGTGCCGGACCTTCCCATCAACTTTCTCCGGCATATGCCTCGACTGGTACAACAGACTCCCTAACGGAATCATCCGCTCCTTCGAGGAGTTCATACTCCTGTTCACCACCAAGTTCGCGTCATAAAAAAGGAGACCCCTACACCTCAAGGCCTTGATCGACATCAAGCAGAAGGATGGGGAAAGCCTACGCGCATTCTATGCCAGATGGTCAAGAGTAGCTATGGCGGTGCGCGACCTCACCCCCGAAACCGCCACCCATCACCTCATGGACGCCACGACCAACATGGAACTCAAGCGCGCCATAGCAAAAAGACCGGTGACGCTGTCGACGGAGCTCGAGGCCAAAATCGAAAAGGCTATCACGCTGGAAGAAACTCTGGGCGCGGGTTCTGTCAGGCGCTTTGAACCTTCCAAGCCGCCCAGAGAAGATCAGGCGCGGAAACAACTTCCGGTGTCGCGAGAACAGTTACTACAGTCCCACAGCGGACCCAGACGGCAACCCGCTCCGCCGGAACAAGTCCTACGAAGGCGCTCCCCCGATAGACGTCCGCAGAACACGTTGCCCGCTTACACTCCGCTCAACGATTCCGTGAAAAATGTGTTTCATGTCCTCCGTGAGAAGGGATACAAGATCAATTGGCCCGCGGCTGTCAAAGCCGCGCCGCACATGCGCGACCCGAACAAGCATTGCGAGTTCCACAGGGAAACGGGTTACTTGGCCGAGGACTGCAGGGAGCTAAGGTACGAAATAGAGGGCCTCATCCGAAGAGGACTCCTATCAGAGTTCATTCAAGGGGCGGAGAGGCAGAAAGAGCCGCACGGAAACCCGCCGCCTCCCCCGCAACCAGACTATGATGAGGTAACCGGCGCTTACCTAGTGCGAAAAGAAATTGGAGTGGTCACAGTTGAGGGGAGCCGCCCAACCAAGAAGACAAAGCGCGAATGTGGTTTTAGTGAAAAAATCTTCGGGGGCATGGCGCATGTGCGTCGACTATACAACGATAAACAAGGTGTGCCCAGGGGATCCCTATCCCCTACCACGGATAGACCAGCTGATTGACGCCACCGCGGATCATGAGACACTGTCCTTCCTGGACATGTTCTCGGGATACCACCAAATCCCGATGTCTCGCGAAGATGAAGAAAAAACGACGTTCATGACGCTATTCGGGAACTTCTGCTACGTTGGAATGCCGTTCGGCTTGAAGAACACCGGCGCGACCTACCAACGAATGATCGACTCAGTGTTCTCGCGACAGATTGGCCGGAACATTGAAGCGGACGTGGACGACCTCATCGTCAAAACCAAGGCAAGCAACTCACACTTGGAAGACTTGCGCGAGACTTTTGAGGCGATACGCAAACACAGCCTGCGCTTGAACCCTCTGAAGTGCGTGTTCGGAGTAGAATCAGGAAAATTTCTGGGGTTCATGATCACTAAGCGCGGAATCGAGGTTGACCCGAAGCAGATAACCGCAGTTCAACAGCTGCGAGCGCCGAGGAGCGCGTTGGAGATTCATACCAAGGTCAGCTGATAAGTGCGCCCCCTTCTTCAAAACGCTCAAGAACGGCGCGCGGTTCGCGTGGACACAAGAATGCGAAGCAGCTTTCCAAGAACTCAAGACATATCTTGTATCTCCCCCTGTACTATCTGCTCCCAAGTTTAATGAAAAACTCTTTCTGTACCTTGCCGTGTCAACAAGAGCCGTGAGCGTAGTGCTAGTGTCCAGAGGGGATGGCCAGACTGAGCGACCTGTGTATTACACGTCGCGAACGTTGTTAAGCGCGGAAACGAGGTACTCCCCAATTGAGAAAGCAGCCCTCGCATTGGTAAGCGCCTCACAGAAGCTACGCCCCTACTTCCAAGCACACCAAATCACTGTCCTGACCAACCTTCCACTAAAGAAGATCTTGTCCTCGATGAAAGTGTCTGGGCGGATGGTCAAATGGGCGGTCGAATTGTCCGAGTATGATATCCAATACGCCCCAAGGCATGCAATAAAAACTCAGATCCTAGCAGATTTCATCGCGAAGAGAGTCACCCTTGACTCCACGCCAGAAGGGGTATGGGACGTGTATGTGGATGGCGCAGCAAGCAAACATGGAGCCGGAGCTGGGGTGGTTGTGCGCGCTCCGAAGGGCGCTACGCACCAGATAGCAATCCGGTTCATGGCGCTGAAGACAAACAACGCAGCTGAATATGAAGCCATCTTGGCGGGAATGACAGCCGCCAACGACTTGGGCGCGAGAATGATAATGATCCTCTCCGATTCCTCACTGGCAGTCAATCAACTGAATGGAACCTTTGACGCAAAGGAAGACTCGCTGGCGCATTACATGGAGCGCGTCAGGCAAAAGGCGAATACCTTCAAGGCGGTGACGTATGCGCAAATACCCAGAGAAGAGAACATGCACGCGAACGCATTGTCCAAGCTAGCAACCGCCACTGACTTCGAGTCAACTCGACTGGTATCTGTCCAAAAAGAGGAGGAAACCAGCCAAGAAGTGGTGATCAATGCCACTCAACTCATACCAGATGAGGACTGGAGAGCCCCGATCGTGAAGTACCTGCAAGACGGCGTGGTACCGGAAGACTCTAATGAAGCGTGGGCCCTAAGGCAAAAAGTGGCCCGCTGCACGCTCATCGGGGGGAACTGTAGCGCCATTCATACTCGGGCGCCTACCTGAAATGCACCAGCCAAGAAGAGGCCCACAATGTGGTGCGTGACCTACACGAAGGTTTGTGCGCGATGCACGCTGGGTCACGCAGCATGGAGCGCACAATTTTGCTGCACGGATATTACTGGCCGCGAGTGAAAAAGGACACGAAGAAATATGTGGACCAATCCCACAAGTGCCAAGTGAACGCGCGCCAACACCATCTTCCCTCAACCGAACTCCAAGGCAACCAGAGCCCATGGCCCTTCGCGCAATGGGGAGTGGACCTCCTGGGTCCCTTTCCAACCGCAAAGGGGAAGCGCAAATACATAATCGTGGCGGTGGACTACTTCACCAAATGGATCGAAGCGGAAGCACTCGCCTTGATAACGGCGCAACAGGTAACGCGCTTCCTGAAAAACAACATATTGTCGCGTTTCGGGGTCCCGAATGCGCTCATCTTCGACCACGAGAAACAGTTCGATTGCGCGGAGGTGATTGACTTCTGCGACCAAGTAGGAGTAATTGCAAGGTTTGTGTTAGTGGCTTACCCCCAAGCCAATGGCCAAGCAGAATCGGCCAACAAAGCAATCTTGCACGGATTACACACCCGCCTGGACGACGCTTAGGGCAATTGGGCCGACGAACTCAACACAGTGTTATGGGCACACCGCACAACATACAAAATAGCGACGGGAGAAACGCCTTTCGCGCTCACGTACGGCACTGACGCGGTGATTCCCATCGAGACAACAGCCCCAACTTATCGGATCACAATGTACAACGGGGAGACCAATGAAGAGGCGCGCCTTCTAGACCTTGAATTGGCGCAGGAAAGACGTGAGTTAGCGTCCATCAAGCTCGCAGCAACAAAGGAACAGGTAGCTAAATACTACAATGCCAAGCTGGTCCCTCACAAGCTCAACCTCGGAGACCAAGTGCTAAGGCGAAACTTCCGCCTCGATCCCAAACACGGGAAACTCGCGTCGACATGGGAGGGTCCATACCTGATCCGCGAAGTAGTCGGCGCCAACACCTTCAAGCTCAGCGAATTGGGGGGCACCAAAATTCCGAGAACATGGAACGCGCAGAACCACAGGAAGTACTACAGTCCAGCTTAACATGTATTTGGTCACAATGGCACATTTATGTGGTGGAATAAAACCAAAAGTTCGACAAAGCAAAATAGCAATAATCACGAATTATTCGCGCCCACACAACTGAACGAGAAACGCCGATGATAAATCGCGCGTATAGTTCACAAACTATCAATAATCACGAATTATTCGCGCCCACACAACGGACCAAAAAACGTCGATCACGAATCGCGCGTATAGTCCACAAACTAGCAATAATCACGAATTATTTGCGCCCACACAATCGATCGAGAATCGCGCGTATAGCGATAAAACAAGATATTTGCGCTGCACATGTAAAAAAAGAGCTTTTGGATTCATTAACGGGAGCAGGAACTACAATTAACCGCGCGCTAAGATATTTGCGCCGCACATGTAAAAAAAAACACACACACA